ATTTCCCATTTATATTAGGAAAAAGGATAGTGTTTTATTCACTTTTTTAATAGTGTTCATCTTAATAAAAAACATATTAACTTACTTATCTCCATTTGCCCGAGGTTAAATAGACAGAACATCACACATGATTGGCAAATTGATGTTTCCACTGCATGACATGTTGAATGCGGAGTTAAATATTTAATTCAACTATTTCTTCAGGCTCGATTATGAATTTTAAAATCTGTAAAAATGTCAGACGCGATCAACTTGAACATCTCATGGAAGAGCGAGGGAAAACTCAGAAGGTAAACTACATCACACTAAAGAACACCTCAGTGACTTCTTCTCTGACTCGTTGTTTATCTACAGCTCAGTTCAAACTAAGCCCGTGAAAATATATCATTAAAGTGAGACTTGATCATGAGGATAAACCAAAAAACACTATTTGTTGTAAGTTCTTTAGTCCTTGTACGGTCTTATCGAGCACTGACTAACGAAGGAGAAACTCCAACGTCTGAGAGCGATGTGACATCAGTTGGAATGGCCGAAATGAGCGCAGGAGGGATGCTCGCCATGATCGTCCTTGGAATATTTGGAGTTTGTTTGGTAATATTAATATGCTGTGCCTCGAAGTCATTAATAATAACCTGTCTTAAGCTTCATGCGAGCAACAATGAGGAGCCCCAAAGTCATGTCATCCAGGGGGGCAAATATATGTTTACATCACATTTGTTACAACTTCCCCTGGCAAGTAAAGGATCAGCAAGTATAACTCAATTACAGTCTCCAGTGTAGTCTGCTACTGTAATGTAGTGAAAGAGCTATTAAACTGCCAAAGGAAAAAGAAAAGAAGCTGAACTATCTCCACAACAAATCTCCTCTTCAGCTCAGTCTTGATCCTGCGGTGAGAGCGCTCAAGATTACCTACATTCAGCTAAAGAAGATATCAAAGTTGGCCACTGCACTACCTTGGTACTTATAACGACCATTTTTTCGACAAAACTTGTGCTATAGAAGTTGTAGTATTGATGTTTTGATAGCTGACCTGCTTTTAAATTAAAACGAAAATAGCAATTTAGGTTCCATTTCATTTCCAAAGAACCCCCGTACACAGCCGCAAGATCAATCAAGGCTCCTTGAGTAGCGCACTCGACGACTTTGCACGAGACTAAACAAACAATAAACTTTTCAGATTGAAATGAGAAGAAAATTGAGTGGGAAAATTGAGAAATCCAAAAAAGAGATAGGCAAATGTTTAAAAATGGTAAATTTCCTTGGAAACCCGGTTTCTTGTCAACAAAGGGACCAACTTCATTCTCCTGAGTAAATGAAACAAAGTGAAACCAATCATACAATTAATCCGCGTTCATTTATCCACGTATAGATCTTACGAGCTAACAAGCTCGTTCAAAATACGAACGTGCTAACATACCATTTACTTTCAAATATGGCCATCCTGTTTTTTTCTTTTAGCGTCGAATGCATTTCCTAATATTGGGTCGGTACAAGAAGTCTCGGAATAGGAGGCCCTGGTACACTGGGACAACATTAAAAAGTAAACTTTCACATAATTTGGATTAACAAAAATGTACAATTTGCTGTAAAAAATGTTCCTGTTTTTTCTCCATGCTATTACTATGATCATTTTTCAGACAGATTAAAAGAATTATTCAAAGTGAAAAATGATTTAACTACGTCATTTTTTTGGGAAAATGCCGAAAATTTGGGTCGGTCGGACGACGCTAAAAGGAGAAAAAAAAGAGGATGGCCTAATGAAATAGATTGCTTTGCCGTGGCTAATACTTATATACAAGATTGAAAAGGGAATTAGTTAACTATTAATGAATGCGGCTGAGTATCTTATGAAGATATTATGGAGATCGAGGGAGTTATCCGTCGAGCCGTAGGCCGAGTCGGATAACTCCACCCTCCGAGATCTCCATAATTCTTCACATGATACGAAAGCCGAATTCAATGATTTTTTTTATTATTCATTCAAAATAACTCCTAGTTTAAAAACAAAGCTAAAACATGCTTACCCCCATCGATGTTAATTTTATTTTCGATAGTGTACGTTACGCAAATACTCTCCAAATAGCAGATGTCGCCCTTTGAGTTGTGTTCTTGTCATGTTTTTAGCTATAATTTCGCCTAGTTGTTACACTTGAAACAAGTGAAATGTCCGCCATTTTTTGTTTTCACAGCCAAAACAACTCAACCTCGTCCCCAGGTCTTCTCGGTTAACGGTGCATTAACCTACAAGAACGCTGCATTTTTGACGTCATTTCCTCGTTAACCACACAATTCTTCCAAATTGGTCATCAATACCTGGTTATGATGAATTATGCGTGTGCTTCTAGCCAATCAGAATCGGGGTAATATTTTGAATGAATAATAAGACGATTTATTCCTGAGTTTGCAATTAACTTGGATAGATTTTCGTTTCTTAGGTCTGGTTCAAGTGAATTCCAGGTTTTAGCAACTTGGTCAAAGTGGAAGAGTTCTTCATCCAGTTGAGGTTAAACCTTGGCATGCTAAGATTAACACCAGTACTTGTTAAAAAAAACTTAAAACGCGCGTGTGTAATAGCGTAAATACATTTTTAATTACAATGAACACACTGCATGCTGTATATTTATATCAATGAAGGTCCTATGATAATCGCAATGGTGATCTGCACGAGTAAACAACGCCGCACAAAAATGGGTCAAACAACTAGACTGAAAGCGGAGCGGTAATCTCTGATTTGCTGGTTTTAGCACGAGCAGAAGCTACAAAATTTTCTAATCGGCTGTTAACAATGTTCGACATTTATGCGCACACTTTAACCAAACAGAAGGTTTATCTGAGGTCAATTTAATAAAACTTTTACAAGTGTAATTTACAAGTGTAGCCATTGTTTCAGGGTCCGAATACAATAGCTACACTTGTAAATTACACTTGTAAGAGTTTTTTTTAAATTGTCCCCTGGTTGCTCAAACACGGCGTCTTACAACCTCGTTCCCAGGTTCTCTCTTCTACCCGTCTTTCCCTCGCTCCGTAGGGCGGGTAGGAGAGAACTCTAGGAAAGAGGTTGGGCGTCTCAGACAGTACTTATTGACTGCCGATCTTTCGACATCCCCTACTTCTGTCTGATAGTTGGTAACCGCAATTGAAGAAAATAACAAATCTTTTCTCGTTGTTAAAAAATATATGTTGTACAATATAAAGCGATGAATGACTACCACAAAAACTAAAGTAAGGATATTTTTTATTTATATCAGGTCTTTTTTTTATTAAGTACTTTAATAAACATACATGCACAATCAATTAAAAAGTAATACTACAAAATATTACGATAATAAATCTGATAGTTCATTTCAAAAAAGTATTCTCTCTTAAAACATATACTAGAAATTAATGCTGTCTAAAAGAAGAGGAGCAAAACAATAGATCGTCCATTCATGACAACTTAACATGTTTAATGAAACTATAGTTACGAAAACTGGAACACAGGCATTCACACAACAGATTCAAATATACTTTCACATGCTCTGAAGACAATGTAAAAGCCGGTATATTAAGCAGTTATTACGAAGAAAACAATTTAAATTCATATTCTAAACAGCTTTTAAAACATGTTTAAGCTTTGGTGTGAATGGGGAATGACTACGGCTCATTTACACTACACCGGGGACTTTCAAAGGAGACTTCGATCATAAGAAACCGTTCATTTTTTTCACCCCTTTTTCCCACAGAACGTTGAACGGCTAGTCGTCTAAATTCCCGTACAGATAAGGTGGT